CTAAACATGTTTAAAATTTACATTTACATTGGCAGATCATAAATTAAAATTTCTTATATATAGGACACTTTAGCTGTATTTACCAAATCATGAATTGTGTTGATTAAATAAATGCATTTGTCATTCTGGCGAACACAAAGCCTGGAATATATAATATAAAGTATTGATTAAGAGAATATTTAATAGTGAAATAAGAGGAAATATTCGTATGAATGGAATTATTTAAAACCATTATTGAGATTCAATTAATTTTCTAATTTACAATTGTAAATATCATGTAACAATTGTGTGTTGTTAAACAATAAATAACAATGCATGCAGGTGAAAGGAAAGAGGAAGTTCAGTCTTGTGTGATAGGTAAATCACATATTATTAGATTTCTGTGGGTATCTAACTCTCAGCCCACTGACAACATGACCATGCCGACTGTGCTGATCATAACTAACTGGTACATTTTTGCCATCTGATCATGGTTGATACTGGTTTCTTTTTAGTCATTTAAAAAATTTCCCTATAATGATGAAATGGTTTAGCCCAAATTGAAAGATGGACAAGTCCACTTTAAATGTCTAGCATGGCGAGGGTTACTTATTTAAAGAACTTTCAATATTGTACCAGTATAGGTCCAGGCTTATAAAATAATATCTGCTAAATGTTTATATTTTCATTAAGGTAAGCCAAATAGGTGTTGATTAGAATAAAATGATCTAATAAAGGGATATAATGATGTTGTACATATTTCTTGCTGAAAGGGTTTGCTTGATTAATGAGTGAAGATGTCAATTATGACAGGATGACTGTATAATGCCTTCATGAATGTAGCCAACTTCTTTCATGTGTCAGGAAAACCTTTGGTGCATAGTTGTACAACAAATTTAGGTTAATTAGATCTATATGTTTTATGGGATACTAAGTGTTAGGTGATCTGAATTTTGACATGTTTTATGATTGTTTATGTGACTTATCTATATAATAACTAGACATTGTTTTGGGGTTGTTTTTTTTGGAATATGAATGAGAGGGTAAGATTTGATTGTGATACAGTTTGATATCAATTAAGTGGTCAGTCATTTAAGTGTTAAGTGTTGTTTGTCAGGGATAAAGTGTATGGATTTAGGCTGTTGTTATAATTTATGGTAAAGAATTTTGATTATCTTATTCAATGTTTATAAAGGTTTCACATTAAAGTTTGTAAAAAAAAATAACAAACTTATTTTCAATAACTGTACATGATATCCACTCCCATCTGTCTCAGCTTTGTTAAAAAAAGTTTAACCTGAATGCAAGGTAAAATAAACAAAACAGCTTAACCTGATCGCAAGGTGAAATAAAAACAAGAAAAAAAGCACAATTTATTAATGGAGAAAGATTTCTGCTTAAGAAAACAAAGAGATCTTGTTTGTTGGTGTTGATACAAATGTCAGCTGTCGAAAAAATAGAAAATTAATCCCCCCTGATTCATTGCCGTCTTGAAAGTGAACCCCCACTCTCGCTACACTAAGAGTGTTGTTCAACTTATGAGTAATACAGATTATGCTCGTTGCACTTTTCTCTATATGTTTTTCATGTTATTTCACGTCATATTTTACACTAGGTTAAACTGTTTTTCATTCATGCGTTGTGGGTTTTAAACCATCCTTTATAATTCATATATTCTAGTCACGAGACACGGTAAGGATTTTTTTCTTTTTAAATGTTCGGTGAAAAGAAATTTCATACAAAAAGATAAAAATAGAATCGTGACGTTATTTCATCCTTTTAAGGATATGTACTACGTGTTTTGTTGGTGTGTAAAGTGTTGTTAAAACATTATCTTAAAGTTGTTCCGAGGGCACTTAACACTTGTCGTGTAGTAAGGAAATTAATTTACTTTCACAATGGTTTGTTTAAACACTGGATTAGATGGTATGTACCAGTTTTTGTCACATCAGTTTATTGAATATTTCAGCTGTATCACTTCATTTAATTCAAATGTTTGCCTGTCCGATTACTATAACATTATAGATACCAAAATGTTTGTTGAAGTTGTACTTATGTTGTTTTTTTTTCTTTATTGAATGTTTTATTTTTATCAATGAATAATGGTTTGATTCACTTCCTGTGTCTGTAGTGAATCAAGATTATAGACAGGTTTTTTTTTAACTTTTGAGCACTGTGACATTAATTATCTATTTTTGGCAGCCATGATACCAACATTGTAGAGCCGCTGGCCAGACTTAAAACACAGTGGCTCTGTTGTACCAAACTATACATTATGCTACTTATTCAATAAGAAATATGGACGATTCCAATTTCATAACTGGATAAGTCCATTATAAACACAATGAACAAACAAATGAGTTAAAATAGATAACAGGTCATTTAAATCAATGACACTGATCATTTTGCTGTCGACAGCAGTTTTTGTTATCAATCGTTCTGTCTTGAAAAATTGCCACAATTGATTTATCTGTTTAAATCTTGATCATATTGATCTTATAAGCCTTTATACCAGAAGGCGTGCAACATAGATATAGATAGATAAAGGAATTCAATTTTCACGTTATATTACTTTCGCTTATTCTATTATACATAATAGAAGGATATGGTATACTAACATTACATATTGTATGGTATTACATGGTTAATTTCATTATTAGTCGGGACCCTAGAGAATTTTCCTGCTGGTTTTGGTATTAGATTGTAACAGTGTTGATCCTGAGTGACAGTTTTATATCTGAAAGTATGTCAAAGTAGGATTATGATATTGTATTAAAGGTGTTTCAAACAAACTGGATATAAAATACAGGGTTATTTATTATTTGAAGGAAAGGTTTACTTATATATCTAAGATTGTAAATCTGCATTCAAACTGTTTTTGAATGTTTTATATATATGTATAGGAAAAGGTGGACTTACACTGAGGTAAATATGTGAAATATTTCAAATAACATTTACCTGTATTCATGTTATCATGTTTATGAAAATGCAGACTTTTTCTCTTCTCTTGAAACAGACCTATCTTGCATGACTTTCATTATTTATAATGTCTGGTAAATCTAAAAAAATGTGAATTTTCACTACATGTTCATGAATATTACATTGGGGGGAGGGGGCGTGGTCATGAATGTACATGTTCATTCTCTATCCTACCAGAAACGATGCTCTTCCACTTTGGTACTTCAACCCTCAACCTGCTGGAACCGAAACTGGTAAGCTTTTGCCAACTTTTGAAATCCCTTTAACATTAAGTGAACTGTTCCAAAAATAAAGCTGGGCAAATCCATTTCAGCAGGTTAAGGGGTGACTTAACATATAAACCATCATATATATGAAGATTCTTTTACTTCCTATATGTATTTTGTTAAGCTGACAATATGATAATGAATGTCTCAGTTTGCTCTGTAACCATGGCAATACATTCTAGAAAAATCTTCACATTTACATCTATGTTACATACCCATCCTTTTATTGCTGAAAGACATTATCTCCAATTTTTATCTGCTTTTTTCCCTCATTAAAACTCTTCTGTAAAAGAAACATGGCACAGCAATGACAGGGGAAAAGGGGGAAAGGGGATGCTGCAGACGTGCATATGAGGGGGGGGGGGAATATTTTCTCAGAATACAGAATAATGTACTATTGAGATCTGTTGAGCACCTAATTATCTTAGAGGTCTGTTTTATGTATTGATTTGAAAATGAAAGCTGATTATGTGTCTGTCTATGTCTGGATAAGAGAAAGAATTCCTCACTGGTAGTCAATGAGGCAATATACCTTTAACTCCACTGAGGTTTTTTGACAGGACTGGAAATAATTTTTGAGATTGTTACTCCATTTGATGTAAATCTAAATCTATACTAATAACTTATTGGCAAACATTCAGGTCATTAGATGGCTACGTTTTTCCAGAATAATTATTATAATAGCGAAAAATGACACAAAATTGAAAAGCGTTTAAATGCTTTTCACTCAAATCAGACCGAGAATGCCACAAACATACGATTTTCAATGTATTTCTTGTATATTTCTTAGTTATATTTTATTGATATTTTTGTTGTAAGTGCTCATGTTGATCTATGTGAAAAATTTAAAAAAAGTTAAAGCCTTATAAACCTCAGTGGAGTTCCTTTAATGCCTAGATTTGACAAACCTTCAGAATGTAAGTGAAGATAAGTTGTCTGAGGTGTCTCTGCGACCACTACAAAAGTCAGGGTTAGGCTTCACATTAATGCAGACCTACTAGACACTACAATATGTGCTCCCATGTGGGCATCTATTAAAAATAAAAAAATCCAAATTTATAAAAGACCGTAACAAAGGGTTAAAGGTTAGGAATCTATTACAATTTGGCTGTATTAAGATCATCAGAAGAAAGAATACCTCTTTGTTATATCCAAATTTATATTATTGTTTTTTGATAGAATTATTGTTTTATTAAATTGAAACATCTCACATGTGGCTGTTTAACAAATTACAACATCAACATGATCATGTTTATATTTGATACAAGCAGTTATTTCTGTACACTAGCAGAGTCTTGTGTTTTGTATTTAAGTGACATTCTGCTTACACAATCAATACTATTGTCTTGATTTAAATCCAGCTTTATTATAAGGACATTCCCTGCATTGATCTGGTCGCTACTGACATTCCACGATGACTCACCTTTCTCGTCCTGACAGGTGGAAAAATGTAAACATGTTTGGTGATTTCTACCCATTAATGATATTAATGACTCTAAATATAGCATGAAAACTGTTCGCCCAGCTGTATGATTTAATCTCTTTTAGAGCCTGCTGACTTTCATAGTGTATCAAGTTATCTTTCGGACTATGTTGTTTTACTGTGGCTGATTAAAAGATTTTTATCTTGTAAAAGGTGACTATGATAGAGAGAGATTTTAATATATTGAACAGGTTCAAGTTAATTGATTAGTTTGTAAAGCTTTTAGAATATTTAAGGAAACAAACTGTGCCATATGTTGGTATTAACTGGTGTTTTGTTTCTGTATTTTACAGGGAGTGAACCATCACTGCTAGGCGATACTTCAGCATCGAAACAAGTAGAAGTAAGTCGGCTGTCAGAGGAAAATGTGAATCCGGTCAGTTCTACACCGTTAGCTAGTGCCGAACATAAAAATGAGAAGGATTCAAGCGAGGAAGCTGACACAGTTTTAAGTGACCATAAACAGAGAAAGGAGTTACAATTAAGTTACCCACAAATGCCGATAATTGCTGACACGGCAGATTATTTTCCGATTGAAACGCCAACAAGGACACCATCGTACTTGCGTATAAGTAGTGCAGTGAGTGGTTATGGTCATTATAGTAAATATAGTGCATATAAGGGAATTGAGAAACGGTCTCCCTATTCTAGTACATTATCTCTACGGTCAAGTCGCTCAGATTTGACCACGCCCATATCACCAATCGACATGCCGATTGGAAAAATCCCAAACTATCAGGCCCCTACAAATTGGCCACCATTAAAAAATGAAATCCTGTCTCCAAAAGGTGAAGCGCCCACAGTGGAATTGGAGTTTAAAAAAAGTGTAACAAATGGTGCTAGTGATAAAGAAAATAGACATGTGAATGGTGATTTAGGTTGTGACGTTGCTGTAAATGGTGAAAATGGACATGTAACTCATGAAGGAAACTATGTGTTAACTGGGGATAATACCAAGGTAGGTGACTTGATATGGACCTGATATTTTTGTGTGTGCCAAATTCTGCTATTGAAATTGGCATTTTTTAAGTTTAAAAAAATTGTATTTAAAAAAAGTGTAGAAAAATTGAACAAATAGTATTTTAAAATATGTATTGTGTAGTCTGGCAATGTTGAAATCAGTTTTAAACCTTGCAATATTATTGTTACATAAAAAATGATTACAAAATTTTGTCCGAAACTTTCCTCTGACCTGGCTAAAAATCGATAACTACCAGTTTACCAGGTGTATTACAATAACAAGTTCATTGATTTGGTATGGTGTTGACATTGTTTACTTTCTAAATAGTCCATATAAACACCTTTTGTCCACACTTGGTGTCCTGTTTATGTGTAACTGTAATGATAAAATGTTTGCTAAATTGTATCAGTGAAGAAGTAGAAATATTTCACTTACTGATATAGAGCAGGACAAGTACCTTAGGGGGCTATAAACATTGATCGGTTTGTAATAAATTATGTCTGAAATGTGTTCCCTCCTGTAACTTCCTTATAGTGGTAGAATAAAGGACAGGCACTTCTATTGGGCCATGTCTGACATCATTACATTGACAGTTTAACTAGATTGTGATATTGATATTTTAGCCAGATTGTGATATTGATAGTTTAGCTACATCCTGACAATAACAGTTAAGCCAGATCATGACATTGACAGTTTAGCCAGACTGTGACATTGACAGTTTACCCAGATCTTGGCAGTAACAGTTTAACCAGATCTGGACAATAACGGATTGGCTAGATCATGACAATAACAGTTTAGCCAGATCCTGACAATAACGGCTAGATCCTGACAATAACAGTTTAGCCAGATCCTGACAATAATGAGTTTAGTCAGATCCTGACAATAACTGTTTAGCCAGATCCTGACAATAATGGCCAGATCCTGACAATAATGAGTTTAGTCAGATCCTGACAATAACTGTTTAGCCAGATCCATGCCAGATCCTGACAATAACAGTTTAGTCATATCATTGGCTGCTTAAAATGAGCATTTTCATTTTAAAATCTGTTTAATTAAGAATGGGACTGTATAAGATATGGCATTTTTAACCCATCATTTATATTGAGCATGGTTAGTTTTAAAACCAATATCTTGTAGTTGACTGTTACTCTATATAAATGCTGAAAGTAGTAATCAATAAATTTAATCACACATACTCACTACATAGGTATGTGAGTCTTGGGGTTTTATTTCCTGTTTTTATTGCAATTTCATTACAAACCCTCATTAAGATACCACACTCAATATTTTTCAACCTTTATTTTGATGTAATAAAAAGTTCATTAAAGTTCCATTAGTGTCAAAGACTTCATTTCCATTGATTTTTGTTTACATATAAGAATACAGAAATGAGGTTATAACCATAATGTATTCTAGGGTGGGCTTTTCTTTTAAATACATTCTTACAACCTTAGAGTAATTGTTCTGATTTGATTTGAATAAGTTATTAAGAAAAATAATTGATTATATGTTTGATTTACATATAATTTACATTCATCTCCCTACATAGTCTTGTTTGATAAGATTTACTGTTTAACCTTTACTTCTGTTGGTACAATTTCACTAGGTGCATTGAAGTCTTACACATGAAAAAGCTACTGTGTCAGTGTTATTCCAAAGTGCTTGTATGTGGGTAACAAATGTAGTGGGGCCTGGGTCCTAGGCTATAAACAAATTCTCTAAACTCAAACTCAGATCTCAAATATCTGATTGGTCAAAAACTGCCACAGAATGGACACTGACCAATGAAAATCATGAGATTTGAGACAAAACTCAGAAAAACATTTCATAACCTTTAGGCCTGGAAATCTTCTATATAACATGGGAGAGCATTTATAATATAACTTTAAACCCGAATAGAAAATATATATTTTATTACACCAGTAATATTTCTTTTACTTACACCTGTATGATTGTATAATTTTTTATTATTACAGGATGGTGATTACTTCCTTGGTTTAGCCCAGGCAGAGGAAAATAGATTGTTACTGTTGTGTTCAAAATGTGAAATGGAAATGATGAATGATTCTATAACAGAAGAAGGTAAGATTGAGAAAATGTTTAAATTTCAGTAATTTTCAAATTTATACCATCCACCTAGGGTCATAAGGTCAGTCCAGCTGATGTTCTCTACTAGTATTTTGTAGCCCCCCCCCCCCCCCCCCACTTCTTAGGAGAGATGGGTGGGGACTGTTCAGATATCAATCTGCAGACTATAACAGTTGAATGTGTGTGCACTTTAATCACAATTCACATTTCTAGTTTTGGTTTTGTTAGTTTGCCTGTATTAATATGTTCATGCTAAACTATAATTTCTTTTATTCCACTGATGATTGGATTACCTGGGTGAAATAATTAATATTATACATGTTTGTCTGGAAAGTGCAATGAGGTTAAATCTTTTGTCTCCAAGCTGGCCATGATTACAGATCACTTTTGAAGCCTCAATATTCTTTCAAATATAAAACAAACCTGTTTTGGATTGTTCTGCACAAATTGCCTTGGTACCTTCATCCTACAGAGACCATGTAATGTACTGTCTGATCTTTTTTGTAAGAGGTGCATATTTTGACAAAGCAAGCATTATACTTTGACTAAGGTTAACATGCATAATTGATATAACCAATATCATGTTGTCAATATACTTGTCTATGATATCAGTAGACTTGGCCAAAATCCCATCACAGAGATACCATCTAACAGACTATTATTACATGTTGTGTTTCAGAATGAAAACTCCATGCAGTAATAGATAAAATAGCATTATATGCATTTATCTACGAACATACACTAAATAAAAATGATTGCTGATGTTTCAACTTTTTTTACAAAAGGGGACAAAATAAAGACACTGTCACTAATCTTTATATGTACTGTATTTGTATTTGAAATCGCCTTTTATTTCTTTCATAGTAACTACAAGATGTGTGGTATATAAGTGAAATTTTAGGCAGCCATGTTTTTCTGTATGATCCTATAAATACACTTAGTGTATAAAAAGTAAAAATAAAATATATTTTGAAAATAATTAAACTGAAAACTTCTCTGAGATAAAATTTAGTAAGTTTCATGTCATTATATTACTTACTTACATGTCAAGGTTATAAGATTACTATATTATATTTGTTGTTTACAGGCAGTGGGAAGGTACGAGCAGCAGTAGGGAAAGCCAATTTGTTGATAAGCCAAAAGTTCCGACAGTTCCAGGACTTGTGCCAGCAACACAAGGTATCATACCATCGTAATTCAAACGTCTTTCTGTACTAGTACACAATATACCAAATAATTGTCTCACCGTTTCATTGTATCATTTTGGCAGACATGGTCGTCACTCGTGCCAAAATGTCTGCCACCATTACGCTACTGTATTACATTGGCTTGAATAGAATTGTAATTTGTATATATGCAAACAGTTTATTTGTCCCATATTTGCAACTGATCTGACCAAAATGCTCTTTTCATTAAATTAGGTCACCAAATATATTATTATAAATACAGTGTATGGCTAAAGCTGAATTAAAGCATACAGATAAGAAATAATCCTGAAGTACAATGTTAAACTTCTACCACCGAAACCATTACTAGTCACTGAATGCTTTTATTTTAACAAATATATGAAAAATACCCCCAAATATATATTTATTTACCAAGTTCAAGCCCCTTTCTATAAGCAAAGCATAATAAAGTGTGATACAAAACAGATATGTTATCCATTTCACTTAATTATTTAGAGATACCAGAAATTTCTTTGTTGTGGGATATTAAAATTATTAAACCATGTGTCCCTAGATCCTGTCTGTTTGATCGCCAAAAATATAAGTTGCCTGTTATTTTCTGTAAAAATGCTTATTTAATGTTGGGAAATGTGCATCTTGTGCTTGGAACCCTTTCCACCAGTATAGAGCAAGGTCAGTATGTACCTCTGTGGAGTTTGGCCTGACTCTATACTGTTGGTAGATCATTTCTTCATGTCAGATACAAGCTTAAAGCTTATGTTAACGTTAACTGACTATAAATAAAGTTTGTCTTACTGTCTTATTTCTTGTATTTTAATGTCAAAATCCTTGAGTTTTTTCAAATAAACTGTTGGAACAAATTCGAAGCAGTACCACTTCATCACACACATTCAGCAGTGTTAATAAATAGGTGATAGTTATAAGATTTATATTACCATGGAAACAGGCTTTTTTCTAATAATAAAAATATATATAAACTAAGAAAATGTCACACAGTCACAGTAATTATATCTATTTTTAGAACCCTGACCCAGATCCGGAGGTGAAGCGGACATTATTGGAAGATTTACAAGGATTCTGGGAGATGGTGAAGTTACAGGTGGATGATGTTGATGAAATGTTTACCGAGATAGATATGATGAGACAAAATGGCTGGAGAGAAATCAAAATTCCAGTATGTATTTTCTTTATAGATAAATTTTATACCCTGATTAGAATATGTAATTAATTAGCCTTTCCCACAAATTCAGACCAGCCATCACATCACACCTGTGCAGTTTGACCAGGCACTGTACTGTTTGTAGCTTAATTTTTATCTTTTGATATTGAAATCCCTTAAACTTTCAATTGACTGTTCCAAACTCAAAGCAGGGCAAATTCATTACACAAATTTAGCTTATTACGGATATCAAGCCAGAGTGTATTATTTCTGATAGAGCCTTGTTTGGATGGAGTTTAGGTCCCGAAGGTCAAAGAATGAAAACAAACTTGTAACCTTTATGATTTATTACATTTATTATTAAGCATCTGAATAACTTATCACACCATATCGAATAATTACACTCTCAAATTAATGTGTTTTTCAATTTTGGCAAGCTTCATGCAGTAGTAGATTTAATTTAATTCTACATAACTGCAGACAATTGACTTGATTTTGTCATATAGTTAATGGATGTCATATCTAAAATTAAACAATGGTGTCAATATTCTGTATTCTTTAAAATGGCATTAAGATATCCTACATGTTTGAGGACATTGGTTGATTAAAGTAAGGAAATCTATGTTGGTACATGATACACTTTATTCTGAGTTTAGACAAACAAAATAATATGTTTCTCATTATACATCAAAGTTAAGGTGAGAAACACAATAAGTATGAAAATTTCTCTAAGAAACGTAGTTAACTGAAAAGATTGAAAAACATAGAAAATTGAAAAGTTTGTTAACTGAGACTGAAATTAAGTACAAAAATCTAAAAAAGAGCATTTGTAAGTAAGATGTTATTAGTCAGATATCTATAAATAGTTTATGACTGTTTTATAGGAAGTATACCATTTCAGTTGTCCTTCAACATATCAACTTATATTAGGTTTAACTTGCAACAAACTCAATATTCCAAAAAAATGAAATCATTAAACTTAAAGTATGCAGGTAACCCTGCTGATTTAGTAATTGTAAACCTAAGTTGTTACAGATACATAATTTGGTTCAACATATCAACATATACTTGTATTAGGTTTAACTTGCATGAACTCAGTATTTAAACAAAATGAATGCATAAAAATATGCCATTTACCCTGCTGATTTAGTAATTGTAAACTTTAGTTATTATAGATACATAATTTGATTGACGTAGTCCCCTACAAAAATCAATATTTGATGTCTTTGTATTTCAACAAGATACCTATCTCACCTGTTAATAACAAGGTATGAATCACTAATTCAAAAAACTTTAAAATCTGATATATATTTTTAATGTATAAAGTGTAACTACCATAGTTCAAATAAAGCCATTCATAAAATTATGGAGCAGTCATGCAAAATGTTTTAATGAGTGTCGTATTTCCTAAATAAATACTTACTGCTAAATTACATACATGTGTATGACCGAATGAGCTTTACACAGGACGTAATTTTGGCACTTGAAGAATGAACTTAATGTTTTTGACATTTAATACTGCACACATAAATAATTAATTAGTACTGGTTTGACACAAATACTGCCTTTGATATGGGGTATTAGTTCTCTGTTTTATGTTATTAAAAATGTATAAAGACATACATATATCTGCTGCCTGTAGTTTACAAAATTAATGTTTAAATTATGAAAAAGAATAGTTCGAGAATAACAGTATAAAAATATGTCTGTATATTTTCAAGGGGTTTAAACCCAATTTGAAACAGAAGCATACTGTTTTGTTCTGTTTACGTTCAATATTTATGTGTGTTTAATAACAGGGACATTCTGTGTATCATTAGCATTTATAGTTATCATTTATTTGAATCATTGTTATAGTAATATATCTGCACTATAACATACAATAGTTTAACTTCAAGTTCGTCAGTTCCATATTACTTCACAATTTTAGACACCATTACCAACTTTTACTGTCAGAGTTTCTACAATAATTTACCTCACAATGACACAAATGTAACATGATATTTGTATTTTTCAGTCTCGGAGAAGTTCTTCCAGTTCAAGATCTAGTCCAAAGTCAAGTAGTCTAAATGTAAGCAATGCCAGTACACCCTCACACACACCTGGTAAGTTTATATTACATTACATGACTTAAGTCCCGTTGAAACCATTTAGTTATGTTAACGATTTGTTTAAAATAATTGTTGCCTCAATGATACAGAAAATATAAGGCTGATTAAGTGACAAAAATGTTGGGTATTTATGGTTAAGATCGTTCACTTCAAACCACTTGCCCTCCCCCTCATCACTGTAGTTTTGAATCTCTACAGGTACTTTGAATTCTTTCATGTGAGCAAGCTATCCAGCTGGATTACATAACGTCAGTGGTTCTACTCTATGCTTGAAATAATGCCAGAAAGCGCATCTGAGGTCTACCTCTACAAATAAAGCTGGAAGTGGTCATATGATCTATACTGTGTTGTTAAGACATACAAACCCAAACATAAGAAAAAAAAGTTACAAAATAACATTTGTGTGCCAAAAGTGTAACAAGATATTGTCTGAATCTATTTGTAACATTGTTATAGTATCACTTATCTTACTGTATTACAGGATCCCGTAGACGTGCAGCCAGGGTGAAGGACACACCGGAATCATCGCCTGAAAGGTCAAATAAAGCTAAAATGGCCGCAAAGGTGCGAGATGATGCGAGGAAAAAGATGTTGGCGGAGAAACGTGCTGCCATGAAGCAACGTCAACAAGATAACGAAGCTGTAGAAATTTATGTCGCAGACAATGGCAATAAATCTGACTCTCCAGGTCGCACTAGTGGCTCTGATGTGGCCGACGCGTGACCACTGTATTGATGCATTTTATTTATTCATGAACTATTTTGTTGGATATTTTGTTTCCGAAGATTTGGATTTTATTGTAATGCTAAAAGGATGTTTTTCTATTTTTTATTCCCGAAACTTGTAGAATTAGCTTTGATTAATATTCTGGATTGTATTATTTATTGGAAAACTCAAGTTTATCTGAAGTTATCTGAAAAAAAGAAAAGATTTAGATCTTTTAGTAAAAAAAAGTGCAGTAAATAGTGGAACTTTTAAATGGAATAATACCAAACGTGAAGGAGATGGAGATGTGAAAACTCTACAATTTCAGAGGAAAAGAAAAAGGAAATATTTATATAATTTTCTCCTTCCAATTGTTTCGTTTCATGTTTATTTTCGAAGAAATATAGTTATCCTTTAAAAGATTACCATTGAACAAAGGGAAGTAATCCTGAAAGAAGAAATATATAAAAAGTGCAATTGTTTACAAACTGATCAAAAAATGCATGACTTTGTGTATAAATGTTGCATTTGAAGTAAATGTTGATTTGCTGATATATGGTATGGTACATAATTTTCATTATTGTATGGAGAAGGGGAGCTAACCCTGACAAGAGATGTATATTAAGCTTGTGCTTACTGTGTTATTGTGAGAAATGAATAAGACTGCAAGGTATAGAGAAAATGTGACCTAAAATTATTTATATTGTTTTTACCCCCTTCAGTTTTGTCATGAGATTTAAGGGTGTGTTGTAGATATGAGGGTATGTCACATTATTTATGATTCAGGGTATTTCTGGAAAACAAGTCTTTTTTTCTTCACTTTCGTCAGCTTTGGAATGAAAGGATTGTAATACAGAAATTTTACTCTGCATTCACTCAATGCTTTTGATATGCTGGATATATTTATGTGTCTTGAAAGTATAAAAAAACTGTCAAATATGTTTAATGATTTGATAAATGAAGTGGTTCAACTACTGACTGAAATGGCATGTCTAGAAAATCACCATGTTCAAAATATACAGTGTCTGTCAACAATTTTTCTTTTGAAGAAATTAAATTAAATATATTTATACCACAGTTCTTTTCCTTCATCCTCTTTTGTTTTTAAGTAAAAAGTTGCCATTATAAGAAACCTGCTTTCATGTATGCCTACTTAATAAATGATATATATATATATTTAGTTAGGATTAATGGTTTTTATCTGGGACCATATTTACATAATGGCATGTAGTATGAAAGATAGGAATGCATTTACTGAGAATAAATTGTATCATGAGGCCCCCAATCATCTCATTTTTGCATGTATTTTACTGTTACCCTGCTGGAACCAAGTACCAAGTGCTTGCCACCAGTACAGAGCCAGACCAGCCTGCACATGCAAGCAGTCTAACCAATCTCTGTGCTGTTTACTGACTAGCATAAAGTTTCCATTTTTGATTTCCCCAAAAACTGATGAGTCATTGTTCCAAAAAGGGCAGCTACTGCTAAAGTCCAGTTACGTAGTTTAGCAAGTTATGGAATAAATTTGGATGCTTTTCATCAATGGTTATATCTAAAGCCTCAAAATGTTCAAGGTATTGTGTAAACTTTGAGTTTGTAAACCAGTCTTGAAATCCTGAATTCTCATTGGACAGATCAAGTCAGTGGCTGAAAAATAGCCAATGAACGAGTTGGGTTCAGTGACTGGTTTCATCATATAAAGTTTCACCAGGTCTGTGTGACAGTATATAAATGGAACATTAACAATAAAGTAAACACAGTAGATTAATATGCCATGACTAATTGATACAGATTTTGTTTAGACATAAGGTTCTTGTATGAACTAACTTTAATATTTATTTATTTCACTAGTGTTATCCATGAGTGCCAAAAAATGCTAGAGAATTGTATAGATCTAAAACATATTGTACTATAAACAATGTATGATAATGATTACACATGATTCACTGTACATATTGAAAGTTCAAAATATATTTTAATACATATAGGATAATTAAATTAACTATTCCTCAACCAATTGCTCTAAATTAAAGTAAATAAAACAGACAATTTACATGTAGTTGTGAAAAAGTCTGCATGATTTTGATTAAAACTTGATCAATTGAATAAAAGATGAAGTTTTCATGGAAATGATTTACATCATGTCAGAATTCACGTCAGAAATGTCAAATCCCTTTGATATTGTGATAAATGTCGCATTGAAATGTCTAGGATTCTTTTTAGATCAAACATTCAACATATGATGAAATAATAGGGCAAACCTCTGAGCACTGTATTGCTTTTGCTTTACATATTTCAAGTGTAATGATGGTAGAGGACATTTTTTTTGTTGAAAACAAAATATATATCAATGATGCAAATTTTGGCTTGTTTTAAAGTGTACTTTAACTAGATCAGTGATAAGAAAGTTGAATTTTTATTTAAACATAGATATTCATCCAGTTATAAATTATAACATTGTTCTATGGTGCTTGTTCATTTCTGAACTTTCATTAATTTTCAACTCTCAAGGTCATATATTGATTGAAAAGGGTCAAGGTCATAATAGAAAAATAACCTACCGGTACCTTTATCAGATATTTCATTAGATAATGAATAGAGAAAAAGGAACGTTAATTGTTGGACAATGTAAAATAATTAGAATAATAATTGTAACAGTTTTATATATTATTGATATACATAATTCTTCTGTAAAGTGTGTGCCTTGTCAATGTGTACAATCAATAATTAGATAACAGTTCATTACTGTCTGCTTTAATATATTAACTATTTTGATATTTTCGAAAATGAAACAAGTGCGTTATTATTGGCAATTAAATGGAAATCATTCTCACAGAAAATTAACTGGGCCATTTTAATGATTTTTCACATGACATTGAAGAGACATACATGTAATAATAACCAAGATATAATGGCTTTAGTTGTAGTAGGTACTTATATACAAGGGATTTTCTATGTGAAAACCGTTAATTTGTCATTGGCTAAAAAAATAACTTCCTTCTTTGATTTATCAAAGAATAGTTTGCAATATATGACGCAGACAGTATATAGCTGTTGATAAAAGAATTATTTTTGAAAATTTACAACATAAGGTTACAGGCCAAAGTGACAATTAGTAAGATTGTCCTATATAAGATTTTTTTCTAATGACACATGCTTTTTATAGGCAGGAAGTTGTGCTTTCGGATGAGCAATTAGTTGCACAATGCGATTTCTTATAGGAAGATTACAAATTGTCATTGTTGGTCAACTTCCTTGTTATATATATTTTTCGCTAACAGAAAATAATATAGCTATATAAGCGTGCATGCATTTTTTAATGTAAACAATATGACTGTATTTGATGTACATTGTATACGGTATGGACCTGTATATATAACTATTTTGTAATTTATAAATTGCTTTTAATAAGGGGGCCAAAGTTCCCTTATATTTGTTGTTAGTACATGTATCGTTGAAGTGCATTTGTACTCGAAATATTGTTGTTGAAAAAACACTTAGAAAAAAATAGTTTGTACGAATAAAATCAGCAGTTTGTAGATTACCATACTTGCCAAATGATACTTTTTTTGCCATGTGCTTAGTAAGAACTTTGCAGATAAAACAAACATTTTCTTTTTATTCTGCTTTACTGAAAATCATATTAATAGACTGAATATGCAAGAAGAATCCATTAGAGATCAAACCATACTAAATCAATAGAAGAATTTTGTGATATTTTATAGAAGTAATTTTGTTTCATCTGGCAGCCTTTTAAACAAATCAATATGAATTTCGGAACTTATATACAATGTACTGAGACATCTTCCCTTCTCAAAGCTATTATACTGTCAGAATAAAACTGGTTAGTTTGTAATTTTTATAAAATAAGAAGTTTTTATCACTTTGTGGTTTTTATCATTTTTACAGAGACTATACATGTAATAATAAAAGCTTCTAGAGGGATATATACATGTCTCTGATAAGGATTAGATGTGTCTCAACTGTCCAGACAAATACATTTATTGTATTTATTTTAGGACATCTATTTGTATATGTTTCAATTGAAAATTATTGGTGGTTATTAACCCTTTAAGTGCTGGGCCCCAAAGCATTAAGTCTTTGCCACCAGTATAGAGCCAGGCCAGCCTGCACATCCGTGCAGTCTGACCAGGCTCTATACTGTTGGCTGACAAATTTTAAATATTCAAATTGATATCCCTAAAATTGATAATGGACAGTCCCAAAAATTGATGTGGGACAAGTCCATTTAAAATATTCAGCATGTTCAGGGTTAAATACAGCAGGATGCTTTATCCCATTATAACATTAATGATGCTATTAGGACATAGGCCACTAAATTGTACAGCACATCTGTGAAATCCGACATTACTGTATGCCGTCTGCTGCATAATAATATTCAGGACAAGTTTGGTTCATACTTTCAGCAAGAAATCTCTTCTGAGATGATGGTACCTTGCCCTCAAAACAGAATGAAATAAAAAAAAGTATCTCATTTTGGCGTTATGTTTTGCTGATAGTTAAATTTTCGAAATTATTAAATTGACAGTATCATTGTGTTAAATGAAATTTAGTGTCTTAACAAAGTTGAAGTTGATACATTTTGTTGGATGTTGTATTGAATTGTTTTATCATTTGCTCTAGTTATAAACAATTAAAAAAACAATTACTGCATTAAATTCAGATAACCCATGTCTGTGTTTGTTGTTTTTATATCATTTGATCTTGACAGAAATCCATTATACATGTATGTATGTGCTAATTTCCTCAGTAAGCAAAAGCCTTCAAATAACAAATAGTATTTTTATAAACATTCTGTGAAGAGTGATCCCTCAAGTGCAATCAAAACAAAAATATGTTAAATATGTTAGTACAGAAGAGATACACAATAAGTACTTTAAGTCAATGACTGATGGAAGAAGAAAAATATAAGAACTCTAACAAGTAAACTATAACTGAAAAAAAAAAATGTTAGTAATATTTGCATAATGTGAGTTATGTTGACTATCTGTAAGTACATTTTGCCAAGAGCAGTAACTTTGATATGACCTGAAAGCAGAAGAACCTCCGTGTGTACAGAATTACCTACCTGTCTGCAAGACCTTTTGTTTCCTTTTGGCAGCTGAAAATTTCGATCATCCATTTCTGGTGTCACTGTCCCTCATTTCCGGTGTCAGTGCCCCTCATTTCTGGTGTCACTGCCCCTCATTTCTGGTGTCACTGCCCCTCATTTCTGGTATAACTGCCCCTCATTTCTGGTGTCACTGCCCCTCATTTCTGGTATAACTGCCCCTCATTTCTGGTGTCACTGCCCCTCATTTCTGGTATAACTGCCCCTCATTTCTGGTGTCACTGCCCCTCATTTCTGGTATTACTGCCTCACATTCATGGTGAAACTGCCCCTCATTTCTGGTATAACTGCCTTACATTCCTGGTATAACTGCCCCTCATTTCTGGTATAACTGCCCCTCATTTCTGGTGAAACTGCCCCTTGTTTCTGGTATAACTGCCTCACATTTCTGGTATAACTGCCTCACATTTCTGGTATAACTGCCCCTCATTTCTGGTGAAACTGCCCCTCATTTCTGGTATAACTGCCTCACATTTCTGGTATAACTGCCTCACATTTCTGGTATAAGTGCCCCTCATTTCTGGTATAACTGCCCCTCATTTCTGGTATAACTGCCTCACATTTCTGGTGAAACTGCCCCTCATTTCTGGTATTACTGCCTCTCATTTCTAGTATAACTGCCTCTCAAATGAATGAAACGGAAGTAAATTGCATGTATATCATTTGACATTGTTGAGAAATTAACACCAGCATATATATAAATATATATTGTATAAATTTGCTTCACTTGATTCATTAAGATATTTATCATTAGAATAATAAATACATTTTATTTTTCAATGATTTATTGATCAGATCGGAACTGAAGTCCAAACTGAACTGGGGTCCAAAAGTCTGAAAACATAAATTGACTGGGGCACTTCAAATGAGTAATATGCAAGTACTAATAAGAATATACACAGAAATAAATTGATGCGATTCTAAGCCCAGTTAAAAATGTTTCAATACTTTTCATTTTTGGGTCATTTTCCACAATGACAATAATTATTTGAATTTAAAAAAAAAAGGACCTGCGATTTATCAGAAATTTTGCAAATAGTTAAATTTGACCAGATCTACATCATATTGTACATTGTTCCCAGTGCCATCATGCCAAAACATGCTAAGTGGAGTAACTGTTCCTTTAAGACATTAGCAAATTGGGGACCGAAACAAATCTACTTTAACCTAAAACCTTGTTATGCTCTTGGGCCATACCAAATGAAACCAGTTATTCTGAATAATATCGGCACAATAGTTTCTCTATTCCAAAAGTTCCTGCAATCAGGCTCTGCAAGATGTACAGAAGTCAGAAGATGTGAACAGATCTGGCAAAGTGCAAACTAAGGTCCAGTATACTCAACTACAAATCATTAAAAATAAGACTTTTAGTGGTCCTGTTTAAAAAAATCAGTATCTTAAGGCCTTCAATTTCGTCAGTTGATTTATTTCTAGACCAATATGAATACATGTAAAACTATATGGTCAAAGGGGAGTAACTCTTCCATGTATTAAATTTTCTTTAACATGTGCTTTTACATTTTAAAAATTTTACCATTGGGCTTATTACTTGGACCACTCTCATTTCTAATCTAGACTAGACAATGAATATCTTCTTAACTTGAATTCAATCATACTTGTAATGACACAAGAAGGTGAATATATTGTTTTTATCATGACTGTACAAAGTACATTGTATAAAGAGAGGTGTCCTACGGATGATTTATCTGGTAATTCTACAGCAGTACCTTGATAGACAATACAGTCATCAAGAGGAGCAAGTCATGACAGTTGAAACTGAACATGCCTCTCATGAACATTTTTTATTCTTGCAACGAAAAATCTCTTTAACTACATTATACGGTACCTAGATTTGTTGCAACCCACACCTAGTGTCACATTAATAATATCATCCTATTAAATGGTCATTTTTATATGAACAGAGATAGCTAGGGCCATGATTTAGTCCTTCACTACAAAGTCATCCATTGCTACAATTCCTTCTATTCATCATATGTTTAGCCCTTCCATTTCCATTTTTTTTGTTCTACATTCCTGTAACAGCAGTGCTGCAGTCAATGAATGTTGCCTTTCCATGTTGATCTTTGTTCTCATATTTTGAAAATTCAACAAGCACACTGACCAATACCTGCCTGGAACATGCTGTCCACATCAGTTATGACTACTCTGCACAAATTTGTTCAAGACAGCAATCCAGCCGATCCCAACAAGGACCTAGGTTTTTTTGTATATATTTGTACAATATAAAAACAAGTTGGTGTAAACTATTATACCACTCACATTAAGTTATTTTTGTGCAATCTGCACTTCGCTTTGTGCATGTCTGTAAATCCTCTTTAGTATATTGCCTTCCAACACTGGAAGAATATACATATGAACCTTTCCGGTTTTTCGTAGCAGAACATTTGGCCACACCTTTTCTATTCATTGCTAGGTCAACTGCTCACAAACAGTATCACAAACATAAGCATGTGTTCTTTTGTGCAAACCAGGTCAACCAGTGACTATGTATTATCCAAGTGTAGCAATTAGATAACAAATTTAGCCAATTTACATAAATCTGTAAACACTGGAAAGAAAAACCAACAAAAAAAAACAGAAGAAATTCAAGAAAACGATAGCTCAGGTAATTGGTCAATAGGTGTATTTTTTTGGAAACTATAAGAGTAAAAGAAAAATAAAAAGCTTGTTAGAAATAAAAAAGCATTTCTATGGCACAATGGGCCTTTAAAGTACTGGTACCTCAAACCTTCAACAAGAACAACATTACCCCAGCACCCATCCCACTACCGCCTACTCGCCCCTGACTTCCTATCCCAAAACCTGTTTACAAGAACATCCTTCACCCCAACCCCCATCTCTATACTCACACCCACAGGCAATAGGTGCGTGGCTTGGATAGTATACATGTACATGACCACGCCCACTTATTTTTTTATAAATTTTTTTTTTTTTCACTAATAAAATATTTTTTTATTCAAAAAGTTTTTAAAATATCTTATTTTCAATAAATCAACAAAGAAAATTTGTTTTTAAAAAAATTCATCCATATACTATTAATATAGTATATATGGATGAAATTTTTTAAAAACAAATTTTCTTTGTTGATTTATTGAAAATAAGATATTTTAAAAACACTTTGAATAAAAAAATATTTTATTAGTGAAAAAAATTTTTTTATAAAAAATAAGTGGGCGTGGTCATGTACATGTATACTATCTAAGCCACGCACCGATTGCCTGTGCTCACACCAGCAACAACTGCCTGAATACATCAAACCTGCAAGTAAGTTTAATTTTAAAGATCCTGTATGTTGTAATTAAGGTTGTAACCACATTTAAGTGAAATTTTATATAGTATATAATTATGCTTCTAAAATAATTTTCAACCTCGAAGAATATGTAAAATATTTTTCCATATTAGGCCCTAATCATTAAAGTATATGTATTCATTTCTTACTTAATTAGTCTAGACATTTTAGAAAATAAATTTCTAATTACCTCCCTTTATTAACATGAAATATAAATTCGGTAATATCGTTACAAATAATGCTTTTTGGAAATTACAACAGATCTAGTGATAAATATTCATTTGAAAAATACATTTATGATTTAAAAAAACATAAGGAAATTGAGTTAACCATAGCAGATCATTCATAATATTTGTTCTCTCCCCTTAATCTGAAACGCCATTTGCACACTGACAACTACGTAAATAAAACATCTAGGTTTAGAACACTGTAGAACGTTTTATATTAAGCTGGTAAGTCTTTTTTTTCAATATTTTATCCTAGTTTGATGAAGTCAGTTCTATATTGTGCAAATACTTTCAATAATTAACATTTGGTTCACTTTCTGACTTAAAAATATTCTGTAATTAAGCAGTTTAAGCTTTTATCAGTGTTTATAGGTCAAATTTTGCTTTGTCAGTGTTTGTCTTCGGGTCTTGTTTGCATGTCTTTTTGATATAAAATATCTATATATGAATACCTTTACTTACTCTATAGGTTTATACATAATTTATTTTTGTTCAATTGTGTAGGAAGCTTTAAATATAGACACACTGTCTTTCGAATATCTTGCTCTATTAAATGTATACATATGATGATATGATAATTTTAGTTCAAGACTACTGTACTGTACCAGGGCTCCAGATAATTTTTTAGGGCAATGAGTATTTACTCATTGATTTTTTTGTGAATGAGTAAAACTTGAAATCTGAAATTTGACAGGAGTATTTTTACTCCTTAAAATGTATGTAAAAGAGTAAAAGATTTATTATGGTTCCATGTTTATTGTATTATTATACGTGTAATACAAGATATGTCAAAGTCATTTCTTTTGCTTTTTGGACTCTCTTGGTTTATAATCTTGCATTTCCAAACGGCATACGTTTTATCTGAACCTGAGGCATGTTTCTGTTGCTCATACGTGGCAGCGCTAATTATTTCATTAATTATAACCGTCACAATTACTTTTGGGTCGATTTTTTTTCGGCTGAGTCAATCGTTTTAACTTTAGACAGCGACATTGTACTGGTTAATTCCACCACCTTACTATAC